TAAATAATATCACAAAGTTAGTGTACTTAAATTACCGATTTCCCGAAATAATTAATAACACTAGTTTAAATATACAAGAAAAAACATTATGAATTACGTACAACAATACCATTAAAAAACTTTTTATTAGTTATAAAATTTACTTTATCAATGCAGCCATTGTATTTAATTATCTTAAAATGTATTGATTATAACTTCCTTATTGTTTATTTCCAAAATGTTACAGAGTGTAAAATTTTGTTTTGCTATTAGTATAATCACATGGGAATTATCAACAGTGGCTTGCTTATTTGCCACTTTGAATATTATTGATGCCGCAATATAAATAGCATTGCTAATAATTCATTTATTACAATTATTTCAAAAGTTTCATTTGAAAAATGATATTTTTTAGCATTTGCTTTATTCATTGGTATAATAATTATTTAACGTTAAATTAAAATAAGCGGAAGCAAATAACTTATTCCAACCATATAGTAAATGATTTTTTTTCTTTTCTCCCCTTTCTCTTCCTCTCTCTTTCTACTATCATCTTTTTTCTACTTTTTTAAAATTATTTTAAGCTATTGATTTGCAGAAACAATTAAACATATAAGTGATGAATGTGTTAATTTTGATTTATGCAAATTTACGATGGTTTTTTTATGAAAAAATAAAAGAAAAATTTTTTTCTCCATGCACAAAAAAATAAGTTATAATTTCGTTCAACATTATTTGCATGAAACTTATTATTATCAAAATTTAAAATTCGAAATTCAAAAAAGAGAAATTATTCGATAAAATTACCGCAATAACCATTGTTCGAAGGATAAAATTAAGAAATAACTTTAAAAAATATGTATTGAAAAAGAAAAAAAAAGGTAAATTTGATTGATTCGTAATTTTACATAATATAAAAATACAAGCAACTTTGTAAAGAATGAGCATAAGCAAATAATTGAACCAAGTTAATAGTAATTCAAATAGTAATTCGAATAAGTAATTAAACAAATATGCAAATAATACGCAAATTAAATGGTGCGCAAACTATAACGATAATTTAAATATTTAAATAACCAAAATATATTTATTATGTTAAAACAAGAAAGTATAACTTTTTTTTTCTTTTCGCTTTTATGATATACATTTAAAGAGAAATGACTTTAAAAATATGTGAAAAAATTTGCCAATATTTAAATTTTTGAAATTAATAATAAAAATGAAATTTATACAAATTTGTTTCGCTAAATTTATTTTTAAACCGGATTGGCTGTTGTTGGGAAGATGGTAAGAAAAACTGTCGATTTACAGTTATCATCGATTGCATATCTTTGAAAATGATCAGAAAGGAAACGAAATTTCGTATGCATCGATTTGCGTCTATCTGAAAGTGTCATTTCGGAAGGCGTTTGTTAATTTATAGCTTTTGTTTATTTGATTTCCTCGGTGGGACGATGATTTGAGATGATAGTAAAAATACATCGAATTCGAATTTTTATTCTTTCTTATGCTAATATTCAAATTTGAATATTTTTAGATAATAAATGATAATTTTAAAATACTTCTGGAAAATATTATAAATACAATTTCATATAAAATAATAATTATTTTACATGTCAGTCAATAACGATTTAAAAAAAAGAAGAAAAAAAATTTATGTGAGACGAAAACAATAATTTATCCGCTAAGCTGAACGATAACGGAATTTTCAACTATTTTGAAAAAAGTACAACACTTTAAAATTCGTAAATTTTTTAAAATTTTTACACATTTCATTTTCATATTTTTTGAAAAAAACAATAACTGTATTTGAAATGGAATATATTAATTAAACGTAAATGATTAATTAAATGTAATTAAAATGATTAATTAAATGTAATTAAAAGCTGACAAAAATGCTTCCATTTTACAGCTTTATTAGTACAGTGCTTGCGGAAGAACAAAATCATTTCGGTCATATTTCGGTGTTATATCCAGAATTTGAATAGAGACCGGATGATCACCGGTGGAAGATTAATCGATGGGAAATTTTCTTTGCATATTTGGGAAACCTTTTTAATCCGTTTATTTAACTACCTTTGTTAAATTTCTCGAAAATTTGCAACTTTTACCTATATTTCATAGAAATTTTTCAAACATAATCATGCGGTATCATTGAACACATACTGCACCATTTTCAAATATCAATTTTTGTAGTAATATGGGATTCTAACAAGCCGATGACGTTAGCGCTTAATGAATGCTATATTAAGAATTTATAAGAGCATTGAAAAGAATGAACCATTTGTTTATTTCGAATATTTGTCCATTGAAATGTACAAGGAAACATTTATCATAAAATTCCTGAAAACATTTGCTCCGGTTTTTCTAATGAATTCCTACAAAATTTCAATCCATGCATGACAGTTTCATTGATTTCCCATTCAATTTAATTCTTAAATATCAAATTTCTTCAATATTTAACGTATTTCAGATGGATCCAACAACGAAAAAACACGTGGTAGATTGTTCAGTGATCGTTTGAATTGTCCCAAATGTATATTCCTGAAACGTCAGAAGATTTTATTGTAAAAGCGCCAGGCTCTATTTCGTATTTCCATTAGTCTCACATATATTTGATCCGATATGATGGCCAAGTCCCATAAAATTCAAAAAAAAAAACCCCTCATTGATTGTGTTCGCAAAAATTAATGTTTAATCGAAGATCATAACGGAAATTCGGAAATTTTATTAATATCTTGATAGCTTTTTTCTTCAGAAGCTATCAAGATATTAATAAAAACTTTTGCCATCCATTTTTCCATCAATACTGTGTTACGTTGAAACCATGTGATAGATGTATTAACTTTATATCGATCGTTTAATTCAAATTATACTCGTCATAATTGTTTTCAATAATGAATTTAACTGTTGCTTGATAGAACATACTGAGATTGTCAAAGTCTACCGCAGAAGCATAATAAAAAGTGTTAGGAACTTGCGTGAAATAAAAAAATTAGCAACTTTTATTACACTAATGATAATTAAAATAATAGCAGAAAATAAAAATTACATCGACTACGAATGTATAAAATAATTAAATAGAACTCAGTTCTTTTGTTTCATAGAGTTCAACATTTTATCTCGAGAGTATTATGCAAAATAAACGAGCAAAGTAATTCATGAATAAGAATTATCAATAGATTATAATAAATTATTCGTTTTTAACTCATTGTAAACTACAATTTGAATACACAAAAAAATTTTAGAATAATTAAAAAATAGTATTTGATAGTATTATGTGCCAACAATTTAATTGCAGAAAATATGATTTCATTGAATGGGCCCTCGAACTTACTACCACCCTCCATCACGAATTCTACTGAAACGTCTACGCGAAAATCGTCGAACAAAAGGACGCCGACGTAGAAAAGGAGTAAATCCGTAATTTTGTCCAATTCCTCCATGAAACCAACTGAATGGACCTATCGAGAAGCCGTACAATTGCCGTTTAAAACGCTGTCTGCAAAAATAAACATTTATGAACAAATTTGCAATTAATTATTTTGCTAGCAAAAAAAAGATAAGGTAATAACTATGCAATTAAATGAAATCTTTAAGAATGCATTTGAATGAAAATTAATAAAATATAAATTTTAAATTTGATTCAATTTTCATGAAAAATATTATTATAAACAAAATGTTGAAATCGATCATCAAAAACAAAATATCTATATATCATCTCTCTCTCTCTCTTCCTCTTTCTCTTCCTCCTCCTCTTTTCTTTCTTATCTTCCTGACGATGTCTAAAGAATGATCACTCAATTTTTTAAATGCTTTTTTCTTTTGAATATTTAACACTTAGTGTCCAAAAAGGGAATTAAATATGTTCACAGGTTAATTTCGTTTGTCCGAATTTCTGCCACGTTGGCTTTCAAACAAATTAGCAAATTCAATGCGACCAATAGATGGACAGTCCATTTGCTGTATTCAACCATATCTGAAATAGCAAATATTACAATTATCAATGATGTTAACTCTTCTCCTTTCTATCAGAATAGCATCGAAGTTATCAAAAAGTATTCTTATCGAGAATTTATCCAATTCAAAATGAAATTACAGGGTAAAATAACAAAATGGTAGTCAGCAAAATTAATGAGACATTACCTTTGATCAGTGCATTATTCCACCTAATTTATCGTCACATTTTGCGACATAAATGTCAAATAAAACAAAGTTCAGATTGACCTCTTTATTAGCATCCATTTTATTACTTTTAGATATCAGTGATAAAAATAAACTAATAGAAATATACATATGCTTATTAATTTACAAATAAATATAAGTGATTAATGATGTAAGAAAAAAGAAAATAATTTTTTACAAAGTAAAATTTACCTTTTTTTAATATTTCGTTTGGATCAAATAGAGAAGGATTAATTAAATTGCAGCCGTTTGCTTTCTGTTTATTTGAAAGGAATTATTTATACATTTAGCAAATGGCTTGTTGTTTAATAAATTTCCAAGTTTTTGCGATTCCTCCATTTTTCATATCATTCAATCATTGGAACTTAATGTATGATTAAATGAATTAAATCAAGTTTCACTCTTCTTTTCTTATCTATCATAGCATATTTTCATCCATCATAACCTGATGGCATATCGATAACACTGATAATCGTATAATGCTTCAAATCATTTAGCTATTTAAGCAATTTGAAATCACTTTCAGAAGACATTATTTCGACACCCATCAATGCTTTTTCTAATTAATATCATTGCTTCAATGATATTCGTGTAATTAAGTGAAAACTGCACAATTGCTCCTCGCTTTATTTCATATTTCAAAAACTTAGAAATATTCAATTGTTCAAAATTTTTGAAACTCGTTTCATTTCATATATTTTTTACTGTAATATATATGCGACAATAATTTCATATCATTTCGAATTCCAATTTTCAATAAATCAATCAAACAATATCAATCAAGCAAACCATGGACCATGATCTTCGTGTAACCCATCCCAAATTTCCCAACGTCTCCTCATGAATCGTCGTCTCATCCCAAAAGGTCCAAATGAATGCCATGGCCCTCCCCAGCCATGCCCATAACCCCACGGGCCATGTCCATAACCCCATGGGCCATGCCAACCACTATGACCATTGCCCCAGGCTAAATTGAAATATGGCCCAACAGATATAATACCGAAGCCATGACTGCCATAAAATTGTCGCTTTTCTCGTTTTCTATAAAAACGCGCAAATTTTGAACACGATAAAATAATGCTCAATTTTTATTATTTCCATTAATATTTAAAAAAGTCAAAAATTCAAACTTTACATCTAAAAATTTAAATTATTACCTTGCTGTAATAGCATTAGATATCTTATCACACGACACCGCCATTAGATTTGCACAAATTATAACGATAATAAGACTGCACGATAATTTGTATGACGACATCTGAAATTGCTTTCTGTTAACAATTTGAATTTTTCAGTAACAAAGGAAAATTATTACCGTTTAACTGTTGCGATATTCCACTCATCAAATTAATCATTTCGTACAATTTTGATCAATTTTTCGATTTATGTAATTTTCAGTATGAGTAGATTTAACTTATTTTATAATAATCTGAGTAATAATAATAATTAAGCAGTGATTTAATTAATTTAGAATTTTATTTGGATGATTACATGAACATCAAATCGGCAGGAAATTTGAATTTTTAAGCAAAAGTAGTACAATTCTGCATTATTTGACTGCATTGTTGCATTTTATCAATTTTTTTTTCTTTTCTTCAATGGAATTTATTCATTTACTTAACACGAACTTATCACTTTCTTAATTTCGCTCACAACAATAATATCTTTTCTGCAATAGTAACTGAGGAAGCAATTATTTATGGTAATAAATGATAAAATATGAAAATTTTTCACTATCCATTTTAGAGAAGGAAAGGAATCATTCCGACAAAATGGAAATATAATGATTGAATCACTGTAAAAATATTTGCTGAAATATTATATTCATAAAATGACGTAATTTTTAACTGTTAAAACAAGAAATAATAGCAATATGTTTGTTTACAACTCTTAAAAACTTGTTTCAAATTTTAACCCCACACATATTTTCTTTCTAACATTTATTTCACAGTCATTGGTTGGTCCAACCTCAACTTTGTAAAATTCAAGTTTGGAAATGAAATTCAAGAAAGTTTATTAGCAATTAGAATTAGAAGTGAAGAAGTAATTCGTTGAGGCAATACGTTTTAAGTAAAATTCAAATTCATACAAACTAAATGAACATTATCAGTTCAAAAGTCTAAATCAGTGATCGAGAATCTGAATCTTTTATTTACCAAAAAAAAATATAGAGAAAAGTAAAAAGTTAAGAAGAAAACAATTTTATGAATGAAATTTACATTGCATATTTGTAAACATTTCACAATGGTATCCTCAATCAAATATGTTTAAAAGAGAAGTAAAAATGTCAGAAATTTCATTAATACTATCAAATATAATTATTCAATTAATTTATTTTATTTGAAGTTGAAAAGTGATTATGATTTGTGCAAAGATAAGAAAAAATTTGCATAATTCCATTTCAGGAGAGGAAATGGCACATGTCGGAGGTTTAGAGAGGAAAATGGAAATGGATAAGACTAATTAGCTTTTCAAATTGATAACAGATTAATTTCGTTATAAAGAAATTCATTTCTATGGAACAGATTTCACTCTTCCGTTTTCCTTAATTTCTGTTCTTGCTGTATTTATATGTGTATATCTTTTACCGAAATTATTAACAAATTTTTTTAAGTAATGATAGCTCATATGAATTATATTTAAGACGATCACGTTTACATAAAAATGATAGATTTATTCGATTAAATTTATTTTTATCATTGCATTAGTAATAAATTTCTAAAAATTAAACTGCTGACTGTCATCTGTTTTTTCATCTTCGAAATCTTTCACTTTTGACATGTCATTTGATTTGTATTGATTGGATGACTGCGAAATTACTAACTTGACATATTGAATAATTTTGAATTATTGATCAGAAAAGCTGGCTTTTGTCATTAAAATAATTTGCGGTAATCACATTTTAAAGAGATGTTCAATTCTAAAATTAGACTGAAATTAATAATTTTTTCTTAATTTGAATTACAGTAATTTTGTTTTAATACATTAATTCCAGGTGTTACATATTTTGTCATTAAAAAATAAATCATGAAACTTTTACTCTTTCAAACATTTACATGAATTTCATTGAAATGTTTATTTCGCAATAAAATTGCCGCATCATTCAAATTGTGATATTTAACAAATGTGTCACATTAATTAGTTACTAAAAGCATTGATGTAATATTTTTATTTGTTGCAATTTGATTTAAACTTCCCTTCAGTAATACTGACATTCATGCTTCCATAAACCTTTCTTCTTCATCGAAATATACACACTGATATGATAAATTGATAAGATGATCGCATTCCACTCATTACAGAGACAAAAATTGTAAAGCATAAATGATTAACTGTAATTTTTTTTCAAATTTTCATGCATTTTTTTTAGCATCCTTCAAATGCTCAGATGTCATAATGGCGCATTTGTCAAAATGATTTGCCATTAAATTCATCAGTTCTCGTACCGCTTCCGCCGTTTTTACATAATGTTCTGTGAATTGTTGAATATTTTGTCGAACTTTCATCAATTGTTCCTCATACTGTAAATCAGCTTCCTTACTTTTCTGTTGTTTGGTTTCATCTTCAGGATGTCTAAAATTTATAATGTTAAATTATAATTTCTAATAACAAATATCGATTAAAATTTGCAATTATAATAAAATATATTAATTAATAAAATATAAATGAGATAGCAATTTTATGTTAAATATATATTTTATATCAACGAATACCGTTTTTCTTTTTAAAATTTACAAAATTATTGCTTTGAAAGAATGAAAATAATGTGAAATTTACTTGTTAGCTGATTGAGATAAGCCATCCTTGTCAAGACGCCGCTTTTTTAATTGATTTATATCTTCGAGATAAATTTTTAGAGTTTCTTTAAGCCATACTTTTGACCAAGATTCAAAAAATTTTGATTCCACCTGAAATATAATCAGATTATTTGGTTAGTTTTGTTTTCTTTTTTTTATCATAGAAATTTATTTGCATGCAGTCAAATACTTTCATCTTTAAAATTTTAAATGAAAGATTAGCAGAGGATACTATTGTATAACGAATTTACCGTTCTGCGGTGAAAATGAAGTGAAAATGCACCATGTTGTGTTATTAGACAGTATAATCAAATTAATTATGGAAAATCCTTTATGATTTGACGAAAAACCAAAATTCAGCTAGTTTTTAAATTGTTCATTTTCAAATCAAAATTTCTTATATATACCTGTTTAGCTGTTAAACGTTCCGTTTTCGCAATTCCTTCCAATGCTTCTCCGACATTTTTCATCACTTTATTGAACTGTAATAATTAAAATGTAATTTTAATAATTTTAGGAAAAAAGGTAAATATTTTAATTACAACTTACTGTTAATTTCATAGCATTATGCCACAACAGTTAAATAAATTCTTAATTACTTTTTTATTATTCGTTTTAGCTGCCAAACCATTGCATGTATTGGCTATTGAATCAGCGGAAGTCATACCGGCAGCTTTGAAATTTGAAATCATCGATTCAACTGCTTTAACGATTGCTGTCACATCCGATTTACTCTGTTCGCAGAAAGTAATCGAACGGGTGACATCATTTGGAAATCTAAAATGATATTTCGTTTCTTTCAGATTTGACATAGTTGACAAGAGCCTTGCGAAGAAGCAGTATTTCATTATCACATTAATTAATGCTTTCAATGTTTGATTGATTTGATAACAGTGATAATTAGTCCTGATGAAGTAAAAGAAAGGAAAGGATATTCATAAATCATTAATTAAAAGTCAATGCCTCAAAATTTTGAAATTTGAAAAATAAATTTTCAGAAATGATTTAATTGTCTTTTTTTTCATTTTTTTCATCATCATTCAAAAAAAATATTCGTCTTCAAATATTTTCAATTAATATATTCTTACTAATCGATACTTTTATTTTTCAAATAAAACTAGTCGATTAGCAAATTTTGAATGCTTTATGATAATGTGTTCTTTAACTGCTCTAAGACTATGAAAATATTAAACTAGAGTGATTCAAATATTTAATCATAATTAATTATGTTGATTCAATTATGTTGATCAATGCATTTTCGATAATAAATTTAAGCTAAATCATTTTTCTTGGAAAAGTTTCAAGAAGCAAACGAACTCTGTTTGTTTTGCCATATCCAACTTTACCATCACATTTTGTTTCAATCGTCGAAACATTTTTTCTGTCGAAACGTTCAGTAGGATAAAACTCAACCATGTAGTAGAAAAAGAAATGTTAAAAATAAACAATTTAACTAATTTTTAGCTTTTATGTACCAAATAAACATATTTGCATAATTTGATTCCAAATTTTAGAATTTGCATAATTTTATTGAATTTGAAATTCTTTTAAGTTCGCCGTATTATCGTGTTTTTCTATAAAGTTATAAAAATAAATATACAGTGGTAATGTTGTTCAATGAACTGTTTTGATTTCCGGAAGAAACTGAAATTTCGAGAAGTTCAATTCATTTTGAGCATAAGCGCATAAAATGAATAATTTTTGACCAAATAAATGTCTCATTTTTAAAAATAAAAAAATTATTTATATCATTATTAAAATCCAATTTCATTGTGCTCGACATTTCTTTACTATTTAGAATTATATGGTGAACGAACTGAAGAAGAAATTTATTTAAAATCTGTTTTAAATTAGCAAAGAAAAACTTGATGTTACAAGTAAGGATTTAATTTGATAACATCGTAATTAGCAAGGATCAGCTTGGTCGTAACTATGACAGAATCCGATTTGCGGAATTAACAGTTTAATTGGAAGCTTTTTCAAAAATATTTCGCTATGACGTGTGTTATTTAAAGATGATTTCTTTTTTTTGACTAATCCTCGGATTCGTTCTCGAATTTGAATTTCGACTAATTTCACTTCTTGCTAAAGATTTTGGATTTATGCTATTGTTATCATTGTAACACAAATCGATTTCATAGATTAATTCGGTTTCTTACAAGTTCCTTACAAAATTAATTCAAATATTGAAATCAGTTCTGACATAGTTGACGTGATGGTCGAAAGGTATGCACTGCACGTTATAGCATATCTGTTATTCAGATAATGAAATATTTGTATTTCGAACATTCGAGACAATGATAATATGATTCGAATGCTATTTCTCGTGGTAAAAATAAATTTTTCATCAACAATTAGTTATGAAGTGCTGTTCATTTGAAATTCATTTGACAATTACCGATCTAATTGATGGAGAGAGGAATTATTTGATGTGTGACAAATAACGGAGAACGATTTCCGAGATTGCACAACACTTTTATCAGTTTTTTTGTTCGATAAAAAGCAAAATAGTTTAATCCTATTACGAAGAACAAAAGAAAATGATGAAAAAAATTATCATTCATTGATGTTAATTTGAAATTTAAAAATTGCTGTTCAGAATCAATAACAATAGCATTGGTATGAATTTGTGCCTACATTTTGTTACAGAAATAGCTGATTTTATTTTGCAATGCGCAATTATTTTGCAAAATAAAATCAACTTATTCCGAACCACAAATTTCACACCGTTGAATAAACTCAATCAACCAATTTACACAAAATATACTTATTAAAAATAATCATACCAATATATTTTAAGGTTCTCTCTTAAGAGAACTTAAAATATATTGGTATGAATATTTGGTATGATTAACTTACCGAAAAAAGAAACTGTGTGAAAATCGAATAAAATCGATTGAATTTACATATGTTAGCCTTTTCTGTCGATAAGCACCACGGACGGGAACCAATCATACAAGCCTTTTCCATCCTAAAAAGAAAAAAATGAGCGAGAAGTTTGGAAATTTGATTAATATTTTATTGCAAATCCATTCAAATGAACTATCGATCTCAATGAGAATTTCAAAAGTTGTTTGTATTAGCAGCTTACAGTAATGCGATAAATTTTAATGATTCCAAAATTTACCAATAGATTTTTGACCTTATCAAAGTGATGAAATATAATAATAATCAGGCTTGTTGTAATATAAATCAATTTTTATTTCTTAAAATTTCGGCATTAATAAAATGCCGAAATTTTAAGAAAGGAAAATTATGACCATTTTTCGAACTAATTTCGAATTTTGCAGCCCCAACTTTGAAATTAATAAAAAAATATGTGAATATAAACGATGAAAAAGAAAAACTGATTAGTTCAAAAATTTGAATAAACAAATTAATATTGCCTTTCCCAATCACTGAAGTAATCGAACTGTCCATCATGACTGCTTGGAGACAGAAGTCGAAAAATAGCTGCGGAATGATACTGCTTTCTTCAGCTTTTTTTATTACAAATTGGACATTCCTGATCCATTTGCAAATTCGAAATCGCTTATTTTAATTAATTTGCAATGATTTAATAGAATGCTAATTAGAAAATTGATCATTTGTATAATACAGAATCAGTTTATCATAACAAAAAAAAGGAAGCAATTCATTTCTTAACCGCATAGTTCTCTCATTTAAAGATTTCATAGCTTAAATATTTGTGAAGAAGAAAATGGAATTGAACTAAATTAACACATCTATTTTTGTCCGGCTAAATTGATAACATGAAAATATTGTTATCAAAATGGAGGACTACAAAAAGAATGAACTGATATCTTGTGATAAAAGATGATAAGAATGGAACTTTAATATAAGTGAAAGACATTGAAAATTCGATATTTAAAAGCTCTTCTATCATATTATTTGAAAGCAAATTCATAATTTTCTGTCTTTGGTTGGACCTTTTTTGATTGGAAGGTTTAATTTTCTCAAATTTAAATGTCCTTATTACTTGTAACTCACTTTAATGTGACGTGAAATACAAGGATAATGAAACGTATGACCGCAGCGTAATGCGGCAATATTGTTGAAATAAAGTTGGTTGGAGCAAACAGTACATTGCATTTCGTTTGCATTATTTGATTCTTTTTTCTTCATCACTCGCGAATTGGTACACTGAAAGTGTGAATTTTTGAGTCAAAAATTATTAAATAAAAAGTATTTGATCTTTTAAAAGAAAAATTAATTCATTCGTTATTAAATAATTGAAATGACTATAATGACTTTCTCCGTTGTCATTTAATATTTTTAAATCATAGGCCTTAAAGATGATAATACTAATTTGATGAATAAGATAATTAATTTATTGAAGCGGTAGAACCCAGCAGCTTATATGTATGTAAATTTTTCTGATAATTAATAATATATCGTTTTATACCAAAATGATTCATTCATAACTTCTATATTAACATTCCATTAATGATAAAAAGAATTTAAAGAAATGCCAACTGTTGTGAGCTATCAGTAAGTTATCCGATAAGGTACCATGCCCTATCTGATAACTTGCTTTTTTTCATTTATTGCTTGTGTCGTCTTTTTATTTTTGAATCACTTAGA